CTCAGGCTCCTGGACAGTATGCTTGGGCAGTGTGGGAAGAGCCAGAGCTGGGCCAGGCAGGCCTGTCTTCAACACCCACTGGCAGTGTATGCAGGCGCTGGCTGTGGTAGACAGGGGCAGGGTGATCCTGGATGTGAGAGTTAACGTTGTTAACTTGATTGGATTGAAGGATGCAAAGTATTGTTTCTCGGTGGGTCTGTGAAGGTGTTGCCGGAGGAGATTAGCATTTGAGTCAGTGAACTGCAAGAGAAAGACCCACCCTCAGTCTAAGTGGGCACCATCTCATCAGCTGCCAGCACAGCTGAAAAGCAGGTGGGAGAAGGTAGAAGAAGCTGGCTTGCTGGGTCTTCTGGCTTTCATCTGTCTCTCCTGTGCTGGATGATTCCTGCCCTTGAACATCAGGCTCCAGGCTCTTCGGCCTTTGGACTCTTGGACTTACACCAGTCATTTCCAGCAGACTCTTGGGCCTTTGGCCATAGACTGAAGGCTGTACTGTTGGCTTCCCTACTTTTGAGCTTTGGGGTTTGGAACAAGCCACTACTGGCTTCCTAGCTCCTCAGCTTGATGACAGCCTATCGTGGGATTTCACCTTGTGATCGTGTGAGTCAATTCTACTTCATAAACTCTCTTTCATATATACATATATCCTATTAGTTCTGTCCCTTTGGAAAACTCTGGCCAATAAACCCCGTCCCTGGCAGAATGCTTGGATGAGGGTGGCAGCTGATGCCCTGTGACCCTGCTGCTGGTGGGGGTGGGGGGCGCAGGGTGGTTTTCAGTGGCAGCAACCATGGGCAGGTGGTTGGGGAATGCATGCTTTGGCCCTGAGTGGCAGATGTGCATGAGGTAACCTGTCCTTAGGTTGCTTGTAAATGTGTGGTGGAAACTGCACTGGGTGGGCAGTGTCACTGCCAGTGGTTTGCACTTTGGGTCTGGCAGTAGCAGCCAGCAGTGGCAGCCATGCGTGGAGGATGTCAATGGGTGACCCGGGACGTGGAGGTGCAGAGGCTTTTGGGCCTCATGACAGGATTCAGTCTGCTGAGGTATGGGCTCAAAATAGAACCTTGCTGTAGCTGCTTAGGACTTGCTGGGGGCGGCGTGTGTGGCACCCAGCGTGGGCTCCCTTCTGAAGCAGTAGAGTTGTATAGTCTTCAGGCAGCTCCGTATGTTAGTTTTAAGGTCCTCAAGGGTCAAGGAGCTATCTCATGGTTAGGACTGCAAGAATCTACAGTGGGAATGTGGACTGCTGGGGGAACTCTCACTTATCCTTTCCCTGGGCTCCCAGCTGGTCGTGACAGAGCAGGCTGCCTCACTTCTCTCCCTCCTTTCCTTAGGTGTTTCTGTTGAATTCCTGTGTTCTCTTTCAGAAGCTCTATTTGAAGTGTGATTATCTTCTTGCTATTTTGGTTCTTCTTTGTAAAAACACAAGTACCAGTTGCCTCTAGTTAGCTATCTTGAAGCCCCTCCACTGGGTTTGAACTTTTTTAAGGTTACTGGGGTGTGTGAATGTGTGTGCATGTGTGCACTATTATAAATGGGTCTTTTCAATTACATCCTCCAAATGGTTCTTCTGTTAATTAGTTTTACATCATTTTATTTACTGAATCCCTAATAGTTTATGGTAGTTCTCCTCTGTTTTCTTCAATTGTCCAGGTATATAAAGTCCTTTCTAATTATTAGATGTAAAACTCTACAGTAGGCACAGTAACACAGATTCTGAAGTAACATGATTAGTGGTTGATGCCTATTCTTTTTCAAATCCACTTTCTTAAACCTTTCCAAGGAGGCAAGGGAGAGGGTCATGGAAGAGAGGAAAAGGGGAGAGACAGAGAAATATGAGGCCACTGCATGACAGAGAGGCAAGGGCTGAGTCCCTACATCTCAGTGCTTGCCCAGCCTAAATTTTCTCAGATAGGTACGTGAAATAGATGTGATGTTTTACATGAGGCTCTTGAAGCTCTTAAAATTCTCAGCCAGGTTATAAAGCCCAGAATCAATCCCACATATATTTATGCTGAGACACACAAGTGTCACAGGTAGTGCCAAATAGCAGCCATGACCCAGATGGGAATGAATTATGTAGCTGAGGCCCTGAAC